AATTGTCTGTTTACTTATCACATTTCCTTTAGTCCTGTGCTGCCCTATGTGGTTTTTGAACACTAAAATGTAATTAAGGGAGACTGAGGGACTAAATTCTTAATTTCATTTCATTGTAATAAATTGTAAGTTAAAATTGATATCTGAATCAGTTATAAAATTTTAAAGTATGTTTGCAATAACTTGGGTATGTGAGTCTACTTTTTCAAATGTAAGTTTATGAAATCTAACTACAGATAAAAATTAAGCATCTGAATAGAGATATACTTTAAGTATAAAATGCACTATAAGTTTTAAAGACAATGCAAAATAAAGAATGTAAAATATCTAATTAATAGCTTTTTAGGTTGATTACATGTTGAAATATTTTGATGTATCCATTTAAAAATTATTAAAATTAATTTTACTTATAAATTACTTTTCAGTGTAGCTACTAGAAAATTTTAATTACATGTGTCGCTTAACTTATATTTCAATTAGCCAACAGTGACCTAGGCTATACTTTCTGTAGGGACAGGAATCATGACTGCCTTATTTACTTATTTTTAAAATTTTTATAACATTCACTATGTGTCAGTTATTAATCTATGCATTAACTTGAAATTGCAAGCATTAACTCTTGATCCTTTTGAGCTGAGTATTATCATTATCCGCATTATACATACTGTATATGAGGAAATTTGCACAATGAGATTAACTAGCTCAAGGCCACAGAGCTGACTTGTAGTGTTAGACTGTAGAGGGGATACAGAGACCTTACTCTCAATAACTTTGCTATACTTTTTAAATTTTTATTTTTGTAGCTTTGGGGACATGTGAATGAATGATTGTTACATGGCTATATTACGTAATGGTGTGATTTGAGCTTCTAGTGTACCCATCACCCTAATAGTGAACATTGTATCTTGTTTTTTCTTTTGTTCCAGGTATCTAGAGAAATAATTACTACCCAACTTTTAAAATTAACAATAATAATTTATCAACGAAATATTTCAAAATTAACAAATCTGTTTATTCATAAGTATTAATTGAACTGTTTCTGCCAGGTACTATGCTGGGTGATGAGGACTCTAGTGTGAAGAAAACAAATGCTTTATTTTTAAAAAAAAGTCTTTCTGATGATGGCAACCATTTAGTGAGATGATGATACTACAATATTGTTTAGTACAATACAAATACACTATTCAAGAACACATAAAGGAGCTCCTATCTCATCCCGGAGATGAGAAATAGGAGGGGAAGGATGAGAGAACATCTCAAAGGATTGAGTAGGAATAACCTAAAAGTGGGTAAGTGGGAGTGGAGAGGTTGCTGTAACAGGTACTGAGTGGGGAACAAGATGAGCAAAGGTAAGAAACAGCCAGGTGTTGGTCACAAAAGTGGTTTGAGGCAGTAAATTACAAATTCAGATTTACCTACCTATATGATGGAGCACACTGGAAGTTGGAGAGGAGATGGGGGGGAAGTAATTATGACTTCAAGCAGAAAATAATTAACAACAGGATGTTGCTGTAGTCCTGAACACAGATGATAGTAGTTTACACTAACATGCTGGCAGTGGTGAAAAAATATACACACTTTAGAGATATTTAAGGGATAAAATAGACCTAACTTGATATTTGATTGGAAGGAAGATGGAGTTTATTGCATATGTTGTAAATTACTTAATAAATACCTATTTTTATTTTTTTTCCTGCTAAAGGAACCCTGGATTTTTTGAGACGCCCAGTATGCCCATCTTGAGCCAATGAATCTCAACTAAAATAATCCCATCATAACAATGCCATTGTTTGTTTCCTCAGTCTCTCTTGTAGCTGGGCTAGTCATCTGGCCTATTCTGACAAATTAGCTATTCGGAGAAGTCTGCTGGGAGGTTCTTTAAGAAAAGCTGGGTTTCCTGGTAAAAGAGACTCACATGCCTTTTGCCACTTCTTTCTATATTTGTTTCCTTTGAATGCAGAGGTAATCCAATCTCAGTCTCATCAGGCAACACCATATGAATTATGGAAACATTGCTGGATGTTTTTAGGTTATTGAATCAACCTAAATTCACCACCATCTACCTTGAAACTACTTGTTATGTGAGAAAAATACAGCAATAACTATGCTTCTGTAAACTGACTATAGCTTGTAGCTGAACACATGCCTATTTGATATTTGGTTAAATGAAAGTAGTCAAGGGTTTTCTCTGGTTTCTTGCTTAAACTTTTGGGTGAAAGGTGCAGGGCAATCTGGGAGTAAAACAAGGTTAAGAGGAAATTTCTTGGTCTAAAGATTGTTTATGTGAAGTTTGATGGAATGGGTGTAACCAGGGGACATTTGATATACATATTCAACATGTTAGAGAGAGCTCTGGCCTGGAGACACAAATTTGAAAGACATGAGCCCATCAATATGAATTTGTCAAATAAAATAAAGATACAATTTAAAAGAATATATTGCAGATGGAGTCATACTTTTCAAGTACAAATATGACACGTAGTTAGAAGTGTCCCCCAAGATGTGTAGATCTAAGATGTTATCTGGCTGCCTGGTTTGGATATAGGATATGACATCACTTGAATGTAGGTTGGAAGCACGTAAGAAGGTAATCCAGTGGCAACAGCTGGGTTGGGGTTCTCTAAAAGTAGACCCTGATTTGAAAATTCAAGTTATTTGATAAATTATCCTAGCAAATATAGGTGGGGGAGTGGAGAAGTGATAAAGGAAAATGAAGAAAGTTAGCCAAGGATGTGCCATCAGGCAATTACCGCTGTGGGTGACCAGAGCTTCACACTGCTGGAGAAATAATGGAGGTATCATAGAACTTATGCCTCAGTTGATCAACCTGAGTGAGGGAGCTGGGGTGTCTATAGACCATTTTCTGTCAGTCATTGCTAAAGGCTGTTCCTTTGCACATGGGCAGAGCAGGCTGTACAATGAGAAGCCTTTGTTGGCAGTTGAAAGTGCCCAGCACACACTTTAATGGGTAAGGTCAAGGGTGAGGCATTGACAGCATCTGAGGTGGAGCCTAGTCAAAGCCATGGCATAAAAATGGGTACATCTAGAAAAAAGAAATTAGAGTTGAAACAGGAGAGGAGACAGCACCTGAGGGAATTTTATGAGCTAAACAAAGTGTTTGTATGACTTTGAACATTCTAGCAGCCCTGGGCAGCAGGAACAAAGGGATTGTTAAAAGAGCTAACCTGCCCTCAACAAAAGGAACACTATGTTAAAGAACTGCAACTTTAGTGGCATTTGAGAGCAGCTTCTGCATTTACTACTAAGTCTTAATTCAGAGTAGACTAAAAATGTATTTTCCTTTCTTAAAAAAGAATAGTCCTTGAGAGAAAATAAAACAAAGCAAAAACAAAACAAAACAAAACAAAAACAAAAACAAAAAACTCTGCCCACTACCAAAATATTTTGATTCATCTATTTTAGTGGAAGGAAAATTCTGAGACTTTGGAAAGTGAAATGAAAGTACTCATACTTTTTATGAGTTTGTTAGTTGGTGACTTATCATAGGTTCAATGCCAATATGTTAATGATCTTGAAAATTATATATGACATTCCTATGCCAGAAAATGCTGCTAAATTCCTGGAAGGACAAGTACATTGTGATGTGAATTATATAGAGATGAAGGAGCACCACATCTGTATTCAGAGATGAAAATATCTTGCTGGCAGTCTTATTTTCACAGTTTGCCTGTTAAGTTTGCTTGTGATAACCAGATAGCCTATGTGCAGTCATATTTACTTCTCATTGAGTTTGAACTTTTGCCATATAGGAAGCCAAAAGAGATTTATGTTAAAGAATGTCTGTTGATTTAGACCTCATTAGTGATTTAGACGACATCAAACCCAAATGACCCGGCACTTGATACACTATCGCCAGGGACAAGATTTTCTACTGACTTTTCTGAGGAATCCTATGAATGCAAATGACCCTGAACATGAATTGAAAGTTATTTGATCCAGAAATACTTTCTTTCAGACAGAATATGTTAGATCTGACTGTAAAACACCAAGAAATTTAATTGGAGATTCTAAAACATCTCACATATTTCTCATGATGGCCCATCTGGCCTGGTGATGTTTGACACACCATTGTAGTATAACATGATGGCTTTGGCTCTGATAGAAAGCCTGATGTTTGCAGAACACACTGTAAACACCTTAGGTAAGGATTTATGTTTTAATGGGAAAATCTCAGTTTCTTGTAGCACAATGTCCTATATGCTGAGTACACACAGCTTTTTTAAAAGAGAGCAAGTACAAAAAGTCTTAGTGCATTCTCTCTGAATAACTTTTCCCAAATGGTGATGAGAACATAGCAAAATCATGTACAAGTTACGTAACTGTGATAAACAGCTTCTAGAAAGTTGTGATTCAAACAAGAACATTAGAATATGCATTGTTTTGAAGCAGAAATTGTTATACTCTGTTTCCTGCTAAAAAAAAAAAAGAAAAAAAAACCAAACAAACAAATGTAAATAAAAACAATAGACCAGTAAGGCCAGCATTAGGCAGAGTCAAGAAATAAAAGGCTGTCCTCTTTCAGCACCTCCAGATGTGTCTTCATGGGAATGAAGAAGTGGTTTTGAAAATATCTGCCACACAGCCTATCAGTTCCTCCCCTAGCATCCAAAATGATGCTGATTCAAGCCTCCTTTTAAAAACACATAATAGTCACATTTTTACCTACTCACTTGGTGTGAATGACAAATTTACATTCCAATTCAGCAGAAAGAGACAATGGAGAGAGAACAAAGGTGCAAGAAAGCATTTTATGATTCATTTCAAATATAAATCCTGGCCCTAAGTGTAGTACTTGGGCAGCGCGTTCGGCGGCCCCTTGGATCTGTCTCCTGCTTCAACAGTGTTTGGACGGAACAGACCCAGGAACGGCCTCTCTTCCAGCCTCCCATCGCCCTCCACTTACAACTTCCCAGACCACCTTCTCCGCCACCTCCTGTTTCTGGGACCAGCGACCACAGTTTTTGCGGATAGCTCCTTTGTGCCGACCAACCATGAGCTCCCAGGTTCGCCAGAATGATTCCACCGAGGTGGAGGCAGCCATCAACCGCCTGGTCAATTTGCATCTGCGGGCCTCCTACGCCTACCTCTCTTTGGGCTTCTATTTCGACCGCGACGATGTGGCTCTGGAAGGCGTGGGCCACTTCTTCCGCGAGTGGGCGGAGGAGAAGCGCGAGGGCGCCGAGCGTCTCTTGAAGATGCAAAACCAGCGTGGCGGCCGCACCTTCTTCCAGGATATCCAGAAACCCTCTCAAGGTGAGTGGGGTAAAACCCTGAATGCCATGGAAGCCGCCATGGCCTTATAGAAGAGCCTGAACCAAGCCCTTTTGGACTCTCATGCCCTGGGATCCACAGACCCCCATCTCTCTGACTTCCTGGAGAATCAATTCCTAGATGAGGAGGTGAAATTCATCAAAAAGATGGGTGAGCATCTGACCAATCTTCGCAGACTGGCCGGCCCGAGTCAGGGCTGGGTGAGTATCTCTTCGAAAGGCTCACCCTCAAGCACGACTAGGAGCCCAGCGGCCTCTGGGGGGCCCCCCTCAAAGTATCAGGCCTTCTTTTGCCTGAGCCTCCCCTCCAGCCACTGGGCAGCTTTTTCACCGCCCTGGACCAAAAAAAAATAAAGCTTTTTGCAGAAAAAAAAAAAGTGTTGTACTTGGAGAGAAGATGGAAAGAAAAGGAGGACCATTCCTGTAGTTCTTTTCTCTTGCCTCTTCTACACAGACACAAATTCAATCCCGGGGTATTTTCTAACCTGGAGTCCACGTTGCACACTCCATCAGAGCCCAACTCTCTTCCTCAGAATTGCCTCTTTTGTAACCTATGTTAGGTATTAATAAATTCCTGTATCATACTTCCACATAACATATTTGCATTATAATAAGAGCCTTTTGGAAATAATGTTTTGTTGTTGTTGTTTTTACCAGAGGATCCCTTCAAATGGTGAGAATTTTGGGTAGCACATAGATGCATTTGGGAAAGCAAGTCTTTACAAGTCTCACACATGTTCCACTCAGACTTGTACCAGTGTTCTTAGAATAGGATTTTCCAAGGTATGTGTTGCAAGATCTTAGTTCTTTGAATCACTGTACAGGAGAATGAATTCACATGACCAAATAATTTTGAGAAATATTCTCTGCCATGCCATCCCCCTGGAGGGTCACAATGACTTTAATAGAGTAAAGGTCCTCAGAAATCCTGTGGTCACTGTCAGGGTCAGGGATCTTAACTCACTTCCAAACTAGCAAGATGGTCTGCCACCTTTTTATGGATGCTGGGAGAAGACATGAGATTCCTGGATCAGAGATGAAGAACATGATTACAGCACAGCATGTAGCATGAGCTTCACGCATGCTTGGTACTACTGGTCTCCCAAGACCCATAAGCAGCTGCAGAGAGTACTCAATGGATGCTGTGCATGCAGTGGTTTTATGTTGTGGCCAAAATAATTCACCTTTGAGCCTGGGCAATCTAACTCTTTTTTTTTTTTTTTTGAG